TGGAAAAACAAATTTTTTTTTCTCGACTTCAACAATCCAACCCTCGCCTGCGTACGTGAACAAATGAATGCGCATTATGAAGGCGGCTGCGAAGGCGGATTCGGCTGTAATGATTAAGAATGATACCTGTATAATACTTGGCTGCCTGCTGCAAAAGTCAAGTCTCTCTTAGTCATCGCGATTCACGTGGCTGAGAGGCGCCAGGTTGCACACATGGACTCGCGTGCTGTTGCTGACGTTGCTTATGTAACTCCAGTCGAGCTGGTTCCCTAGTTTTTCTTTTTTTTTTGTTTTTTCTTTGCCACAAGTTTGCGAGATTTTTTTTTTACCGTGTACGTGCTTTTGTTTCCGGTGAACGAGTAACGCTCGAGCTTGCGATCGGAGAACGCGGTTTTTCCGATCACTCGATGGTACATTTCAAATAGCTTCGGAATAATAGTCTTCAAAGGATTGGCAAACGAAAATGTATCGCGCTAAATAATATACCACGCGCTTGCTTCAATGAGCGTCTGACCTGGTTCGGATATTATCTACTGAAAAAAATATATATATTCTGCACGCCGAAACAAAAAAAAAACAAATTTCCAAACCTATTTTGTCGAAACAAGCGGAGAATTCGTTCAATTGCTGCGTGTGGTCATCGACACTCCTCGCGTGTCAAATGCAATACGCACGAGTTTTGTGTGTCGCATGTGTGCGCCAGCGGCCTTGAACTAAATTACAATAGCCGGCACATATACGTATAGCTGTTGTCAGTTGTTTAGATGTTTAGCCAGCGCGACTGTTCATGCGCGTGCGCGCCTGTGTGCGTATGCCCAAGCCACAATAATACAATGGCACACCACGCTTGAGCTAGTAGTTCGCGTGTCTCTGTGTGTGCGAATAGGTATCTCCGCTGCCGCCGCCTCATCATCGTGCATCCGCTCTATTTTTCGCTTGTCTGTCGTACCGTGGTATACTCTAGGGCGCAGTCTCTCTTTTTCTCTTTTTCTCTCTCTATCTCTCTCTCTCTCTCTCTCGCTATTTTATAATAGATGGAATAAAAAAAATGGAACCAAAATTGATATCAATAATCCAATAGGTGAAAGCTATCGAGATTAATTAGCCCGCGCGGCTGTATGAAAGGACATTCGACGTGTATCCGTTATAAGTAACAAATCACCGGCGGGTGTGTCATTAATTGTCAGCAGCGGCTTATTGATCGTTCCTCGGGAATATAGAAAGCTCCACGGTCCGCTTTGATTAAACTGCGCGACTTTGCTAATCGTCGACAGCGACTTCACAATAAAAGGTCCCAAAAGCTCGCGCGCAACAAAAGCGATTCTATAGCGCGCGGCATGGTCATCCCACGCCCATCGCATGTGTCGCTCAATTGCCGCTAGGCGCCCAAGGTTGTGCGCCAACGAGAGTAGTACTGTGAAAGAGAGAGAGAGAGAGAGATTAATTTTCCCGACGTTGAGTCATTTTTCATTAGGTGCGTATTTATAGGCGGTACTACAAGTTGCTGCTACACGTTGACAGTTTTCTCAGGCGTTTACGTACTTTCTCACCTATGTGTACGAACGTGGCTATTATAATACGACAAGGATGTGGATGGCGATTTGATTCTTAGTTGCGATGACCTTGTTGTAACTGGGCGCAATCATTGTTATTATTTCCTCGGGTTTATATTAGAGAGGATGTGTCTTTTATCGGATTCTTATTGTGATCTGATGATGGTATTATTTGAGCAATGTTCGCCTATCTTAAGTTTGTGGTGAACAAAATTAGAAAATTTTTCATGTAACATTTCATTGAAGACCGAATGAATTTTGTGCTTTTTTACAGGATAGATTTTAACCAATCGCCGTCCATGGAGAGAGCAAATAGAATTTTTTACATAGTCTGTGGTTTAAAAAAAAAATTGTTAGAAGTTATAAAGATTCATCAGACTATAATTTTGATGTTAAAATAAATGTTCAGTTAGGCACAAATTCATTCTGATTATGAAATCACAATGTTTTTTGTTGTTAAAAAAGTTTGTACAATTGCTAATGGCTGTCAACCTTGGTAAAACACTCAAAAACCGATTGTATAAGGAAAAGATTATATTTTTTTGTTCAGAAAAAGACTCTTATTACGTATATATTTTAACTTATAAATGTTTAAAGTAAATGTCTATCATTTAAAATAATTTTTCAGCAAACCTACCCATATTCAAAATTACAGCTTCTAGCAACAGCTTCAATTACAAAGTAACGTGTTAATTCATGTAAACGATATCTTCTTTCTGAAAAAAAAGTAAGCCATACCGATCATCGAAGACCATAAATTAGTCGAGAATGTTCGAAAGGGCGAACACAAAGAAGGGCGAAAAAAAGTCAATCACTAAACTAGGAAGAAAGAGAGTTGCCTCCCAAGGATCTCCTCGTGTTTTTATATTTTTTGCGTGCGAAAGTCCCGTTAGTTCTTTCCACGAAAAAGTCAGGACCAAAGTCTCTCTTTGTCGATTCGATCCGACGAACACTTTTTCCATATCTCAAGGCCTTCTGAGCTCGCGTTGTTGAGAAAAATCGAAAAGTTTCTAACGAACCGCGGCCTTGACTTTGAAGTCTAGCTACTGCGTGATTCACGTTCAAGATCGCACAGCGCGCCTTTTTTTCTACCTTCTCCTACGTTTTTGCCGTTCAATAAAAACAAACATCCGAGCTATTTTTCTATAGCACGACATTCTTTTCATTGTCTCTCTTGCTTTGGTTATTAAAGTATACGTATACAGTGTTGAAAAATAACAAACGAACCGCTTTTTGTTTGTTCCAGTTTCTTTTAATAACCAATTTACATAAAAATAATTTTTCTTGCTGCAGTTGAGCAGATCATTAGATGAAAACGAGATTCTTCACGATTTCAATATATTTTTCCAAGATCTTCGAAAATTACTCTGTACGCAAACTACGATATCGTTGACAAAGGATTCAAAGGCGTATTCTAACGATCATCATTACCGCTAATAATGTTCGACTCTCGCTATACTTTGTACTTTTTTCTCCTCTTTCACTTATATATATATATATACGCATATACACCGCAGATAGTATCCTGCAAAACTTTTGTAGAATAATCAATTATTTATTGCTTTAGCGCACTGCGCTGCAAAAAAATGCGAAGAAATATAGGTAATTTACGAGAGGAAGTTGCGAATGATTCAGTGTGCACTTGTGTACACGGAATGATGATCAAAGTAATTGCGAAATTGTATTATTTTGTACGTAAAGGATTCAAACTATACTCGACGTTTTTAACTAGATTGCATGTATTATTTTTTTATTTGCTTCACTGCACACTAAAATTTTCTGCTACGTTTTCTGTTTACCAAAAAAGAAGTATTTAAAAATTCGCACTTCCGCGTTTTGGACAATCAGTACTCAGTCTTTTAGAACCAGCTGCACAAAAAATTTGAGGAAGTGCTTCAAGCATCTCTCCCTATAACCTCGAAACCCTTAGCAAATACGCACGTGGCAGCCTTGACTTGGGTTAAGAAATAAAAAGAATAAAGTGGTCTTCCGCGATGGACCGAAACCTCTTTCGGCGAACCGACGGCTTCTTGGAAACAGGTGTGCACGTGCAAAGCGGTTGATGATCTTTCTTTACCCTAGGATAGATAGACATATGGCGCCTTCACGATGATGATGATTGCATGGGAATTTCGAAGAGTGATTCATGGAAGTACTCGGGAAGAATAAAAGCGAAAATTGATTGTCAATTAATAGCTTCGATAAACACTCATCTATGAATCGCGAATCTTGTTTGTGAAATTAATTTATTTCGATAATCTATACTATTCACGAGATACAAATTACAAATCATTGTTTTCACAATAAACGTTTCTATTTATTTGTAGTACTATATACGGAAAGGTCGACAAAAGCAAAAAATTATTTCTAAAATGACAGACAAGATTACATACGTACCCATCCGAAAATGAAACCATAAATGTTTGAGAGAGAGAGAGAGAGAGAGAGCAAAAAGAGAGCGTTGTCTCACCAAAAATTCGAGTGAGATTCGAGGTCAAGCAGCTCTTTTAAATTATAGCTACATCTTTCTCTCGAGGCAACAAAGGAGATATAGAGGAACCGTTGTGAGAGATCGGCAAGAGCTTTAAGATTTCTGTGACCTTGCTTTTGGATCATTCGAAAATAGCGGTTCTCCATAGGCCCTTTTTGCCTTATTTTATACCAGCTAGAGTTATAGTTTCTTTTTTCTCGCTGCATTAGGCATTCAGGGCCTAATGGATCTACGATGAAAGTGGATAATCAATTCTACATAGTCGGGTGAAATAGCAAGAGTGAATATTCATTTCAAATTTGTTTCAATGCCGAAGATGTTAAGAATTCTGAGTAATGCAGATAGCGTTTTTTCAATGGTTCGTCAAACCAACACTGCAAGTCCTAATTAGCAAGTAAAAAGTATAAGTGTTAGTGTACGGAGTATTCATTAAAGTCAGCTTAAAAACTACGTATATACGAGTCATCTGTAGAAGAAAACAAATTGCTATACCTGCACTAGCACTTCTGTGTGTGCGCATGTGTAAAAACTTCATTACTTCTCGAAAGAAAAAAACATGGCTATTATTTGGAAAACGAGAAGGCGTTCTATTGAAAAAAAATTAAATAGTTTGAACAATTGTACGGTGAATTTTATTGAAATCTACGCGAATATTTATATATGAAAAATGTCGCTAGTGTTATTTATATGTGTCAAACTTTTGTGGGATATGTAAAATCAAAATTAGACATATTTATTGCTTCCAAACAAATTTTTATGATTTTAGTCGGTTGAGAAAATGAGTAAATCCTTTTGTAAGTTTATTCACAATGTTCAAATGTTGAATATCTTCGCGTTATCAAAGTGACTTATTCATATTACAATGAATGCCATCAGAGAAACTTACCATAAATCTTATATGATAAGAAAGCATCAACGATATATTATTAACGACAGAAATAATTTGGATGTTGCAGGAAAACAAGGAAAAGATGGTCCAGATGAAAAGAAAGACGCCGACGGAGAGCTGTGGGGCAACGTTGAGGCCCAAGCAGCGTTTCTTGGGCCCAACCTTTGGGACAAAACATTGCCGTATGATGCCGACCTGAAGGTATTGAACCATGTATGTACACAGACGCGAGACGGTAAGCCTCGAAAGAGATGCTTGCAGAATTTTTTTTATATTTACTTTTTTTTTCTTCTGTTTTGGGTAACTTTTCTCGTTTTGTATGACATCTCGAGACATCTGCATCTCTGGTTGCGAAACATTGTTTTTTCTGTTTTGTTTTTTTCTCTCTTTCATTGATATACTAATAAAAGAGTCTAGTGAAAAAATTTTTGTTTTGTTTTTTCTGTTGAATGACTTTTTCAAATAAATAAAATATGGCTTGCTGTATGTATATTCTGATATACTGTATGTATATTTATCATTATGAATTTTTATTACTAATTGTTTCAAGTTTTTCTAGATGAAAGTATTTACTTGACTTGCGTCGTTTTTATATGATGTACATAACAAGTTGATGATTTTTTGTGTAAATAGTGATTTTTGCTAACCTTTTGTCAGTGTATTATTGAAAATTTTCATTGGTTTTCCGAGATGACAAAAAATCCAGTGCTTTTATATTATTTTTTACTCATACTCCCATCATTGTCCGTTCATCTCTAAATACATTTCAATTTGACTGCATCCATACCAAGATTTGATCTGTGCATGGTTGTATCAGTTATTCAATAGGGTTTTCAATGCTTATTTTTGAATTTCAAAGGAACATCGATTTGAACGCAAAAACAATACGCACGCGCGCGTGTGTGTGTGCGTGTGTGTGCTCGCGTGCCTGTGTTTGAGTTTAATAGCATGATACATTTTGCAAACCTTTCTCGCGAGTTGCCTATGAAATCCACTCTACATCCATAAACTTTCGCTAACAAACATTGTCATACATATATACTTAGCATAAAACATGAATGAGTGAAAGAAAGCATCGGGAATTTCTAGGCAGGCCCAAAATTCAATTTATCTGTTGAACGATCTCCGCAAGAACAATTAATATGTTATTTGATAGTATGAAATGTATTACTTAAATAAATTCGCTTTGCCGAGCGTTTGTAATGTCTTGAGGAAAGAGAGAGTACATTGACCTACGGACTTTCTGATATATATCTATGAGCTATAAATTGGTTCATAGACTTTAAAATACGCCTCGCGCTCTGTGGATCTTTGTTCAGCGAAGATCAATTCGATTGTGTACACCATCGTGTTTTTTTCTTAATGAATTGAATATATTTATATATTTATCAAGTCAGATCGAATCACACACATTTCACTGGCGTTTAGAATTCCGATGCACATTATAACTTGTTAATTTTCAATTATATAAATGAACGGAAAATCATTTTGCCATAGCTTGATGAAAAGCTCCAAGCTTATAGAAACCGATAAATCAACTTATATGTCATACTATATTAAATAAATACCTGATAAGGCAAAAAAGACAAGAAACGAATCGCGCGTATAGAAATAAGAAAGAACGAAGGAGCCGAACGAAAGCGGAAAATGATTCGATCCTGTCATACACATATACATATATATATATATATACACACACACATATGTATATTTGTATGAATATACACACATGTATATATGTATATATATATATATATATTTTCGTATCTTACGGTCACTTTCTCCGTCGGCGGCGGCAAGCGGCGTCACGGCTCGCCGAGGAACTTTGCGGAAGGTTTTCGGTTCTCCGATTTTTCCCTCTTTCTCTCTCTCGCTCTCGGCTGCGCCGCGTTCTTCCTCTGTCTTACCTCGTCGCGAGCGTGACGCGTAAATCTGGCGATAATCTTGGCTTGCCACCTTTCTCTCTCTCTCTTTCTCTCTCTCTCTCTCTCTTTACCTCCGCGAGCAGGCCGAGGTAACCAACGACTTTCTCTTGGCTTCGCCGCCAGAGCCACATTGCTTTGCACTCTGTACGATTACATTCTTTCCGAGCTTTTATGTAGACATGCATGTTCGAGGACCACGAACCGGCTTTTTTTTCATTTGTTTCCGATTAGAGGGTGAGATTTTTTTTGCCTATAGGTGTGTCTTTATACAGTTGGATCAGAGATGGAAGTGTATATACGGATTTTTATTGGCTAAATATTTCCTTTTCGAAACTTTCACATACTTTTTGATTGTCTTGTTCGCATCCTCAATGGAATTCCGTATAATTTTTATTATGAATCGGTGGATCGAGTCAGTTTTTTTCCGCGAGTGAGTGGAATTCCTATTATTTTCATTTGAACGAGCAAACAATTAAAGTATTTTTTGCTGATGTCACGTGTCATTTATATAAGCCATGCAAATTGTACATATGATAGGTTGCAAAAAACAAAATAATAGTTGCTGCATGTGCAAAGATTGAAAGAGATTGTGGTCCTGTGGCATGGGATTGAAGTTTTGTCTGTTTTTGCATGATAGTGTCTATCGTGATGTGTGTTCATGGGAGTTCCATTACATATTTTATTGATATAATAATTTGATATGATTATTGAGGGAAGGTAAGGCTTCAAAAATGAAACTGACAAAGTCGCAGTCAACAGTGTATCTTTTCCGCGCGAAAAGAACCGTAACACAAGCGTCCAGTTATTTATGCATGTAAATTATTTCCAGCGCAAGTTCATTAGTCAGTAAACGAATTTTCATTTTTTTCCCGAGCGAAGCAAAAAAAAAGAGCTACGCTTCTGAGCGATACGACCAAACTAACAATAACTCATTCCCGTACGTACTTGGCTGTAAGTGTAACGCAATGCACATTCCACGCGACATTTTTATCGTAATCCTGGAAAATAAAGAAACAATAATTTGTTTTTTTCGTTGGCCGCGCGAGAGCCGACGAAGCGACGACGAGGATAGAAAAAAAAGGCGCGCGCAATCGGTATTACCGCGCGCCGAGCAGAGATTTGCGCTTTTTCCTCCTAACATTCGCACAGACTTCCTCGACCTTGACTTCTTCCGCTAGGCGCGTGCGCAGAAATAGACGGAGAAAGAGTGAGAGATTTTTTCTTCCATCGAGAGGTTTTTCGAAGGACAAGGCAATAATAATTGATAGGCTCGCGCGCGCGATAGTTTTTTTCCGCTTCTTCATCCTCGCTGATGGCGTTTGTATCGGTCGCCGAGCTCATTTATGCTGTCAGGGATGGCTTCTGCGCGGAATGAATGAAAAGAGGACAAATACTTATTTAAGCTCTTTTGCCAGAAATTATTGACGTTTTTCCCGAACGAAAGCTTCGATTGCTCGAAAAAAAGTTTCTTTCTAAGCTCGATATATATCGTGATTCAATGGAATAAGTTCAACGTTGTCGTGCGGCCTGTACTTTTATACCTCATCGTCAAGCTCGGCGCAAAAGAAAAACTGTACTTGTACCGCTATGCAGGCTCGCGCTAGGCAAAAAGGAAAAGCATGCGACATTATCCATTCCGAGAAAAATAGTATAAAGTATAGCTGGAAGAAGAGAAGCGATGTATAGATAGAAACATAAACGAGGTTTTTCTCGGACACAATGACAAACGGAAACACCGCCTCTCTAGCACTCGACACCGCGGTGTCCTTCGCGGGAGCATTTTCGAAAATCCCGCGCGTTCAGGAAAATTGCCGGCAATTAAAAGCCGACAGCCATTTTTTTTTTCATTCATCGTCCGCTCTCGTGCATAATTGCATTCTAGTATTCTATTCCACATCCTTCGGTAAGAGAGACAGAGAGAAAGAGAACGCGATTTGCCTGTCGTCGTCGTCGTCGTCGTCGTCGTTCGTTCGTTCGTTCGTTCGTTCGTTCGTTCGTTGGTCGTTGTTGTTGCAGCTATAGCGAACCTTCACCCAGTAACGCCAGCCTATCATGAGAACTTTTCCACGTGGACGCACGCACATGCGAGATCCTGGTATTTTCAATGAGAGCGTTATTTTCTTTTCTTTTTTTTCTTATTAATGCAGTCGGGTGTATTGAATTTTTTTAATATTTTTTCCTTTCGAATGTATCGCTAATTACAGCGTGGATCCAATAGAACGTGTAGCGGTCTTAAGTATATCATAAACAAAAAATTAATGAAAATTTAAATGACGAATGAGTCAGTGTTACAATAAAAAAAATTAAAAAATCACCATATTCACGACACATTATCAACCGAATCACTTGCGATACAAAAAAAAAACAATTTTCCAATATAGTGGAAAAAACACGTCATTGTAAGTAGGAAGGATCCACAGAAAATATAATAAAGGATCACCAAAACGTACGTACCCGATAAAACCAACAATATATCCCATTATGTAACCTGTCCACCATGGGATCGAAGTACAACATACGTTGCGCAATAAGAAAAAAATGAAATCACAACCCCCACGGCCCGAATAACTTTGATCTTAAGCTATATATGATCTACTTCGAGGTTTAAATCAAACTAACCACTCACACGAACTAACCCCATAACATCAAACTTGAAAGCCTTTATATATGCCTGTGATGAATTGGTAGTAATTGAGAAATGTTGGATTGATTGATGTGTGACTTTTTGACAGTACGTGGACTTGGACGAGTTCCTGTCAGAGAACGGAATTCCAGTGGACGGTGTTGCCGGTGGTGGCGGTGGACAGGCTGGTGCCATGCAAAGTGCAGCACAATTGCACAAACTTGGCAATGGCACGGATAACGGTAATGGGCCGAGTGCCGCTGGTGGACATCAAGGGCCTGCGGGTCTTCATCTCGAACCTGTCACTAAACGCGAACGATCGCCGTCGCCAAGCGAATGCTGCTCGCCCGACACTATTAATCCACCTTCGCCTGCCGACTCCAGTGAGTTCAATCTTCCTTATTTTTTTTTCCTTTTGCTCGAGTGAGAATGACATTGACATAGAACGAGATTAAAAGCGTGCACGTATTTATAAAATATTGAAAATAAAAAGATGTCTTGACATTAACGTAACGAGTCTGCTTTGAGAAAGTTTTGTTTGCCAACTATTACGTTTTTCATTTATTATCAAATTATTGTTGCATGCGAGTTTTGTTTTGTTTTGAGGGCTGTCATAAGTGAAATCTTGACATTTTTGCATTATCAAGCATACAATAATAATTTGGACTGACTGAAATGTGATAAAAATCAGCACCAACGTAACGTATATACAATCGTGAAAGAAAATTAACATAAGAATCTTAAATTGAAAATTTTTCTAAACATGAAAGCGACACATCTGAATAATAGCTTTTAAAATATTCTTGATCAATGGAAATCCATTTCTAGAAATATCATTGTCTTAAAGTCATGAAGTTCATTAACGAGCTTGTCAAAAACACTAGACAGTCAATGTACAGTAGCACGAACTTTGTCGAACTTGTTGTTATGAAAGAAAACAAACAAATAAACAAAGGGGGGATCCAGAAGAGCGAAAATATCGCGCAAAATTAACGTTGAGTCGTTACGAATTGTATGGTGCTGAGAGCAGATTCAGGGGACTCGTCGAGAATACAATATGGCTTGTCTCTTGTAGCGCTCTCGATGGCATCATCGGGGCGGGACTTCGACCCACGAACTAGAGCCTTCTCTGACGAGGAACTCAAACCCCAGCCCATGATCAAGAAGTCCAGAAAACAGGTATAGCCTCCGACTTTCATTCCTTTACGTTAATGCACCATCGCCACCGACAATCGTAACATTTTTTCTTTTAATCGAAGCATGCGCGATTGTTGCAGTTTGTACCAGACGACCTCAAGGATGACAAATACTGGGCGCGTCGCAGAAAGAACAATATGGCGGCGAAACGCTCGAGGGATGCGCGTCGCATGAAGGAGAACCAAATCGCCCTCAGGGCCGGATTCCTCGAGAAAGAGGTACAGTTACAACTCGTAATTTCCTTCTGACCCTCAGTTCTTACGTTCTTTACAGACTTCTTCAGAAAAATTATCAAACAATAACGTCAAATAATAACGTGATTACAGAACATGGGCCTACGACAGGAGCTCGATCGGCTAAAGAACGAAAACATGCTGCTGCGTGATAAGCTGAGCAAGTACACGGACGTGTAACGTGCAAAGATTGGCACATCAGCAGCAGCTCGTCTTCGTCGCCGTCGCCGTCGCGTCACTTACAACAATGAAGAAACAACAGCAAGCAAAAAGATACCACTAAAAAGTCCTGTCTCGTCGTCGTCGTCGTCGTCGTCGTCGTCGTCGTCGTCGTCGTCGTCGTCGTCGTCGTCGTCGTCGTCGTCGTCGGCGGCGTCATTGTCATCGTCGTCGTCGTCGTCGTCGTCGTCGACACCCGAGTGATGAATTTCTTACAATAAAACATTTTTGAATGCGAGACGACACGTTCGAGCTACAACTTCACCTTCTTGAAGAGGAGAGTCGGCCCGCCGCACGCGCATCACACACATACACTCACACTGACAAACAATATAAAGTTGCATATATACACGTTACACATACATCGTCATGCTAACTCTGCACGCACCTCTCTCGGCGACGAAGATTTCGCGCGTTATAGACATGCGAGTTGACACTTTGGACGGTGAGCTTGCAATGGATTAAGAATCCATAGAGTACATCATCTGTCGCGAATTTCCTTCATCGTACCCAATTTTACTTTTACTATCCTTACCCCCTTCGTGTGATTCCAACAATTCCCCGCTCCTCCGCTTCTACTCTCTTCATCTCTCATTCTCTGATTAATTTGGAGTGAAATTTTACTCTTATAGAGTATGCGCTTTTTAGTGACGTGCTGAGCCGAGAACATTTGTACTTTGTTATGACTATAATAATACTTGTATTTTTATTAAGTGTTCGATCATGTCAATTTGTAATCATTCTTTTATATACACACCACTTAAGACACAAAAAACACTCTGTCAGAGTAAAATTTCGCTCGGGATGACAATTTCGATGAGCGTAATAGAGAAATATATCAAGATTAAAAATAATGTATATTATTATGCAGATTGAGAAAACAAAAGGAAAAAGTATTGCTATCGAATTGTGTATACGGTGATTTGATAGAAATACTTTTTTGTTGTTCACAATACAATTTGCAATAATTTTACTTTCAAACTTACAAGATTTTAATGGTTGAGAACTAATTATACAAAAATACGACGATGAGTCTTACACATTTTTCCCGGAGTGAAGGAATATATATTTAAGATTATAACAACAACAAACAACAACAAAAAATGGTCTCTATTCAATGGTGTTCCACAATTGAAATTGTGATTTTCTGCTGGAAAAAAGTTTAGATGCCTAAGAATATTTTTATAAATACGAAAGTAACTTACCTAATCTAGAGAAGCTTTAATACACTACATAGTGCAATAACTTGTTGAAGAAAGAAAAAATGAGCTCTACACATTTAATCATTGCTGATAGCGTTAAATTTATTTGAACTACAATTTTTAGGTATGCTTGATTTAATTTTCACTCCGGAATGAGATATTATGAGTGAAATTACTTCGCAATTTTTTCATTTTTAATAATTTGAAATAAGAGACGAGAAGAAAATTTTTTCCCAAGCAAATACCTGTTGAGTATTTTGCCTATATTTTCTTTTCATTCATCTGCAAAATACAAAAATGTATCTTCTATCCCTTTATTGTTTGCTAACCTTGCAATTGTACATAGTTATATGTATAGCTAGATTACATGAGAAGAGTGTATGTATACATGTATATATATATATATATATATATACATGTATATATATACATGTATGTATGTATGTATGTATGTATGTATATATATATACACACACACACACACACACACATGAGAAAAGTTAATTTAATGATATCGATACATTATGTATAATGATAGTACGGACAAGAACAAAAAAACAACTATGTTTATGCTGAGAGCATTGAGAAATGCAACAGAGAGATATATATTGTTTAATTGTAACGCATATATGTCTTATCGAAGGTACTACGCTTTGTGAATGCTGGACAGGATTATAAGACAATGTTCAAAGATACAAAACAAAAGATGGAATTACTATTATCATTGTTGACAATTATATATTTGCTGCGAGGCTCGAAGAGAGCGATTTGTAAATTTATATATTTTTTCCTTATACCGGTGTCTTCTTTTTTGTTGGCATATATTATATAAGTACATTAAGTGTTTTTATTAATGATGAATAAAAAATGTTATTTCTAATGAATTTTGGACTAAAAAATGATATTTCATGTGCTAAACGCATAGTAAAAAAATTGTTTTAGGAATATTAGTGTAGGTTCGTACACGTGCTCTAATAATGGGAACCTATGTTTAGACTCTTAATCCATGTAGGATATTGTAACAATATTACCGTAAATTAATATATCAGCTTACATGGTCTATAGTACACTGGAAAATTTATTTAATTTTTTAATTCTTTGACATTAAAAGTCGTAATAGACTCTCTTAAATTAGAGGTTTATATTATTTTGACAGATATTTTTGTCAATTGAAATACTTGATTCATCCAGTCTGACTGAAATTATGCATCAAACTTTTCTTTTTTAAATTCGATAAAATTTACAGTGTACTTATGCACTTAGGGCCTACACAAGGTTTTGTAAGAAATCAATGCAATACGTAATAAACTTTACGTAAAAAAAGGATTTTTAATTTTTTTTCAAACTCCACTGCATACTCAAATTTATTTTATTTCAAAAAAATAAAAGTTGTTATTTTCTATAATCATCAGCATTGACTCCCGAGAGACGAAAATGACAACACACTTTATTGACACATAATTAATAATGGATAACTTTTTACATGCTTTATAAAAAAGAGGTACATGCTCAACATAATGGAATAAAAATCAAATAAATTAATATAAAATTAACTTGACTAATTAACAAGTTTTTTTTGTATTTGAGAATACGATAACTAGATAAAATATAACAGAATTACTCTGGGACATATTTTTAAAGTTATTTTTTTTTATGAAAATACAATGTACTTTATTTGAAAATGTAATTGTTATGAAATGAACAATTACTAATTATTTTAAGGTGTATAGCTGCAAAAGTTAAGTAAAGTGTACTGTTAGAGTTACACCGGATAATCGATCTTGATAAAACTAGCTACTTATCAAACAAATATGAAAATCTTTCATTTTGTAAAAATTATGTACAAGTCGAGTTAGAAAATAAAAAAAATCTTTGTAAATGAAAAATATATATGCGTAAAATGCCTATGCTTGAGCGTATTCATATATATATATATACATATATATATATATAGCCTGTTAGTTGTTATTTTAATATTAGCTAATTAAAAAATTATTACAAAGTATTAGAGGATGCATATTATTATTTGAATATGAGAAAGTTCTCTATGGTGGTTTTTTTCATGTCGATTGATATACTTATGTATCTTTTTTAATTAGCTTTTATTTAAAGATACTATTGAATAACAAGTTTGGATGTTTTCCGCAAGTATTACATTTAAATCAAAATCACATTTTTGTTCTGTGTACGCGATTGCAATTTATATATGCTTAGATGTATTTTCAAGTGACGAGCACCACGATCGAAATAAACGACGTTTGGTGCTAGCACTGCTCTACTCTTTTAGTTTTTCTTCTTCCTTTTCATTCTTTTACTTAAGAATTTCGATTTGTTTTTTTAAAGATTTTATTAAACTTTTTTGTTTACAAGATTTTATTAGCTAAGCAATGTTCCTAATAAAAGGACGAGTTTTTTCATGGCCAAATCTCATCAGTTGTGTATATTTTCATATTTCCTCTTGTACAGCATTTGTGCTGAAATTTGTCTCATGCCATGTAAATGCAAGGACGAATCAGCACAATACAATCTCTAAACTTTTACGTCACTGCTTTTTCCACGAGTTTACATATTAGTATCATTTGATTTTTTTCCGTTCAAAGATTAATACATTTTTTGTACCACATTTTGTATAGAAGACACAGTGTTAGTCAATTTAAGGCAAAGAATAAGGAGGAAGATGGACGTTTTTGATGTCGAGATATTTTCAAAAACAAATAACAAAAAATAAATAAAAATTGTTGAATGCGAGATATGCATGTCGTATTTTCAATGAAAGAAACAAAAGTTTCACAGTGTAGTATGGTTGGATAGTTCGTGTGAAATCGTAAGGAAAATTTAATATTCAAGCAAATATTTTACTAAGGTTATACGTTTTCAAGATTGGTTGGTTTTTTATTCTTTTTTCTATGTTAAAAGTATGTAGAAGTTAAAAATACAAAAAAGCAGGATTTACAAAATAAGCACTAAACAAAAATATCTTATTAATTATAATTAATTGTACTAATAGCAAAAGTGATAACTTACTGCAAAAAAATCAGTAAATAATAGAAGATGAAATAATCATAATAATTGTAGAGGCAGTGCTTCATACCAATAAAATACAATATGTAAAACAAAGCGAACAGTGGTATATTATCAAAAATAACAATTTATCAAACAAGAATTTTCAAAGGATGTCTTTATAAACTTTAGCGAAGCTTTTAAAAAACCAAACTAAAAGTAATTATTTTACGTAGTTGAAAACTGTACGTCAAAGGAATACTTGAGTTATTTAAATTATTATGAAATGAGTGAAGTGAATACAAATACACACAACAAATCATTTGTAATCGAGAGAATGTTATCATATCTCGTTACGATATCTTCCGATCCAATAATATTTTTTTTTTTAATATTGAATAAAGTACATATGTTGCATAATTTAAGTGAATAAATTATTAAGTGAATGACATAAAAGTAATTTGAAATGGATGTGAGACGCAACCTGTAAAATAACCATTTTATTGAATAATTGGATTTTAAAATAAAACACATGAGCGACCAACAACACAAAGGAACTTAACTGTATCACATTTCGAAAAATATATGTATTTGTTATTGTTTTAATTGAACCAGTGCATTTATTATTCAGGACTTTCCCTCTTACTTAACTTATAAGAATATAATATTTCAAACATTATTTTATTGCCAATACAAATGAAACTTTTAAATAAATATTTTAATAAAAATCTAAACAGCAGTTAACTTTAAATTAATTCATTTGTCTTCCAAAATAAATTCATCTGATAAAATATTTTCAGTATTTTACGTTGCATACATAACCAAGTGCTTATCATATATTAATAACCATTGCGAAATATTAAATGATTTTTATATTTTCATAAATATATCGATGAATGAAATTAGTTAATTTTATTAGAAATATAAACCAAGCTCATTGATTTTTTTGCATTTTTAATGTGAACGTTAGAGCTTTATCATCATGACGATACAGTTTGATCGCACGTGTACGTTTCATGAATATTAGAAAAACTTCGGTATCAGAAAAATTGAGTGATGTGGTTTGAACTGTGCTTACCTTACTGTGCTGCGTAATGGTAGATGAATTTGTCCTTGACTATGAGGAGTGGCGAGGATGGGAAGCAGGGGGAGATGGGTCACGCGCTCTTACATACGGCATCAACAGTTGTGCTCCTACACTCGTTCAGTTTACTTAGATTATTGAGCTGTTTCATCGCGTAGTCTCCATTTTCACTTTCTTCGATTAAGACTTTTTCCCACTGCTGCTAAGACGTGAGTATGTCATCACTAGTATATTATATTGAAGATTATGATAAAAGATTGTCCCATGAGAGCGTTTTAAGTAATTTCAATTGAAATCCTCGTAATCAAAGAAAACTGTACTGGTTAAAATATAATCTTTCAATTTTGAATAAAAACTTTTATATTATTCATTCATATAATTATATGAATACAACGATATGAATGAAAACCTTTTAATCCATGATGAGCATGAATGCAGGATTATGACTTTATATAAAGAAAATTGATATTTTCTAATGCTGAAAAAAGAACAAAAAGGTAATAATTTGTGTAACTTATAATTTAACTTTATTTTCCAGATAAACATAATGGAAATTGGAATAGCAGAAGTTTTAGTAGGATTTGGTTTGTTGAGCCTTTGCGCGTATTACTATCTAACGTTGAGTTTTAATTTTTGGAAAGAGAAAAACGTACAGGGGCCTACTCCATCATTATTCTGCGGAAACTTTAAGGATGTTATACTTGGACGGATTAATATGTGTTTAGCGGTGAAAAAATACTACGATGAATTAAAATCTGAACCAATAGTCGGACTTTTTAATTTCAAAAATGCGCCTTTGGTGATGGTAAAAGATCCAGATTTGATAAAAGATGTAATGATCAAAGATTTCAACGTATTCTGTGATCGCGGAATGTACGTTGATGAACACGATGAACTCACTCAACACTTAATTAACCTACCGTACGAAAAGTGGCGTCCACTCAGGAACAACTTGTCGCCAGTTTTTACATCAGGAAAACTACGTGACATGTTTTATTTAATGGCTGGTTGCTTGGATCATTTCGAAAAGTATCTAGAACAAGTAGCGAAGACAGGAGAACCAACAGAATTTCGAGATTTAACTGCGAAATTCACAATAGATTCTATTGGGGCTTGTGCATTTGGAATTAATACGAATGCTTTGGACGAACACAGTGAATTTCAAAAACATGGACGAGATTTATTCGCAACTAATATTTCGAATGTGGTTCGACACTTACTTCGAGAGATAGCTCCTAAATTTTTAAGCTTATTAGGGCCTTTTAAATATACTAAAGCCATAAGATTTGTGGTATCTTCAATGAAGGAAACTATGGATTATAGAAAGCAAAATAGCATTCGAAGAAATGATTTTGTGGATTTACTAATGGACTTGCAAAATGATCCAGAGAAAGTTAAAAATATTGGTAAAAAATGTGCTTTCTATCGTATTCGATGATTTGTAGTTAATAATGATTTCCTCTTATAGAATTTACCGACTTATTTTTAATAAGTCAAGCTTTAGTATTTTTCGCTGCTGGTTTTGAAACGTCATCAACTACAATCAGTAATGCTTTGTACGAATTAGCAATCCAGCAAGATATTCAAGGAAAACTTCGAAAAGAAATAAGAGCAGAAATGGAGAAAGATAAAGGAAAAGTGACTTATGATAACATCAAAAGAATGAAATATTTGGACAAAGTATTTAAAGGTAACTAAAATTTTGTATATTTCTTGGCTTAGTCAAAAAAAAAAAAAAACTAGTCTGAAGATTTTCGTAATTTTTTCCAGAGACATTGAGAAAATATCCTCCTGGAAGCGTTTTACAAAGGAAAGCTGGCGATACATATACTTTTAGTGGAACCAATGTAACAATACCAAAAGACATGAAAGTTTTGATTCCCGTATGGGCAATACACCGCGATCCGCAAATTTATCCAGATCCGGATAAATTCGATCCAGAACGGTTTGATGAAGAATTTGAAAAAAGTAGGCATCCAATGAATTACTTACCTTTTGGAGATGGTCCTCATAATTGTATAGGTATGTACTTATCTACTTACAATATATTACGCCAATAAAAGTCTTAAGGCATAAATTTGAATGAACACTTTTGTAATTAATGTAATTTCAATTTCTAGGTGCACGATTCGCTAATTACCAAACAAAGCTGGGTATTATTGCCGTTATTAACAAATTTAAAGTGGATGTTTGTGAGAAAACGTGTATACCCTACGTTATTTCAGCACGATCGATTGTGCCGACTCCGGTCAATGGAATATATCTTAATTTATCAAAAATATCGAATTGAGTGATAGATACAAGTTAATTTTTAGTATTTTATAACTGAATCTACTCTATCGTACAATAGCGAAATCGTAATATGTTTATTTAATGCACTTTTGTCGCTGGTGATATATTTTTTATTGTAAAAAGATTATTTATATATTTATATATTTTTTGTATTTAATTCTTAATTCATAGGTCACATCAAGAAGTAAAGATACTAATTCTGTTACGCATGAACTTGATTTGATTGTTTTGTTCCACTAAATTATGCTGCGGCAAGAACGACATACATAAGACTAAATAGATTTTTTATGTATTCTTAATAATAATTTTATAATAATAATAAGATCTTATGAGGATATAAAAAATCAATTGAAACCATTCCTTCCCTTCCTTTTTATACTTTAAGGTAGCGCCTGGAAGTAGATAAAACGCGTTACACGGGCGTTCGTTGTGGTTGCGGAAGCAACGTCATTTTTATAAATCGTCATTTTGTATGTTTCGAATGATTAAATGAAAGAATTACGATCTTAGACTTTTCGTAAAAACTGGATATCATTCTATTGGCGAAATATAAAGTTTCTTAGTGAAATTCATAAAGCCATTGTATATTTAATCAAAAGCATTAAGATATATTTTTTATAACTCTTTTCAATATGTATTCCATTTCAAAATAATAGTTTTATCAGATTATTAATATCTCTTAATAAAAAATAATCTTAGCTCTATGTAGATACAACTACGATTAGGAAATTGCCTTAGAATTTATATACTGTCAATAAAAATTATCGTATTATCACTCATAATATTCAATAAATTATATTTTTATAACATTATCGACGATATCTTCAATATCAAACATATATGGACTATCCAGTGTGCTGTGTCATTGTTGTTTCGTTATCATTGAATGACGCTAATTACTTCCTCAAATGACGTCGCTAGATTGAGTGTTACTTGGGCTCAGCAGAGTCAGATGTTTCTCTGCTACGTCTAGTATCAACCATGCTTTCGACGTACGTAGTTGTTTTATTCCGATTCAATAAGAATACATATTTTGAGGTTATAGTAATGAAGAATTTAAGTATTTTTTCTGGATGATAAGTAAGTTATAAAGTAATTAGATAATTATGTATTCTTAATTAACATTTACAATATTTATAATATAACGTTAATGGATAAAAATTCAGTGACATCACTTTATCTTCTTATATGTATGTCAGAACAAACTACGAAACACTTGCGAATAAAATGTTTTCTTTCTCATGATTATGAAACAAAAGAAATGAAACTAATTAATAAGCAATTAACTTTGACGTGTAACCAAAAACATACATGTATGACAGATTGGTTGAAGGTTCTTTCTTGTCGTTGACCGATCTTTGAAGATAGGTTTAGGTGGAAAAAGAGAGATTGTGTGGTGTGCACACGTCAACTTTCTTAGTCTAGGAGCTTAAATGTCTCCTGGCCGCGCCAAATCTATCTCAGTGCGTAATTCGTCCAATCGTCCCCATTTAAGTGCCCTCGTGCAAGCTGTACAGATGCACTTACATGCGCGGTTTGAAAAAGTTAATGAATATATTCTCCAAGCTGTGAGAACGTGACGAGCCCGAGTAAAAGTGGAGAACAAAATCGAGTGATTCGCACAAGGCTTCATTCGTGACATATCACATAAAAATTTAAATCATCTATAAAATTATCAAATCATTCTTCAAACATTAATTGCAATAAATTAAACTAAACTTTACAGAATGTCCAATGATAATTTTAATTTGTCGTTAATGGATGAAGGAATATCACCAATTTTAGGTGTTATTCAGTTTTTCTTAAATTTAATAAAATACGATAAAAATTAATAAAAAAGTCTAATCGATTGAGAGACTGCTGTGATCTCAATAGAAAATTAATTTTATGCAATCTACAATATAACGACATTGTATTTTTAGGGTCTTTTGATAATAAACGGAGTCAACCATGGACATCGGTATTAGTGAATTATTAGCAGGATTAGGAATTTTGTTTCTATATTTATACTACCGGTTGACTGCAAATTTCCATTTTTGGGAAAAATATAATGTTAAGGGTCCAAAACCTATGCTAATATTTGGAAACTTCAAGGATTTCATTTTAGGCAGAATTAATATTGCACTGCTTTTGAAAAAGTATTATGACGACTACAAATCCGAACCATATGTCGGAATTTATGATAGAAGCTCGCCAATATTGATTTTAAAAGATGCAGATTTGATAAAAGATGTATTGATAAAAGATTTCAACCACTTTCCCGATCGAGGTCTTTTAGGCAAAGAAAGTCAAGATCCCTTTTCACAGAATTTACTAAATTTGGAATACGCACGATGGCGACCTTTACGAACAAATTTATCTCCCGTTTTCAGTTCTGGAAAATTGAAGGATATGTTTTATTTGATTGCCGAGTGTGCTCAAAACTTTGAAAATTATATATCAGAAATTATAATTAAGGGTGAACCAGTGGAATGTCGTGAACTAACGGCTAAATATACGACTGATGCTATTGGTGTGTGTGCTTTTGGATTAAACATGAATGCACTAGGAGATGAAAACAGCGGATTTCGAAAATCGGGAAGAGATTTGATGGACAATAATTTTAAAAATATCGCCAGGCGCATGTTTCGAGAATGGTTTCCAAGACTTTATGCTCTCATAAGGCCTTTAGTGTACAACAAAGCTGTAGATTTTTTTGTAGATTCTTTGAAAGAAACAATGGAATACCGGAAGAAAAATAATGTTAGAAGAAATGATTTTGTTGATCTATTAATGGATTTGAAAGAACAACCAAAAGAGAAGCTCAACAATATTGGTATGAATTGGAATATAGATATTTTGTTTACCAATTCATGCATTTGTTATATTGTTTTAATTTTAATGGTATTCTTTATTGTAGAAATGACGGACTTGTTAGTGACATCACAAGCTTTTATTTTTTTTCTGGCTGGCTTTGAAACATCATCGACAACAATAAGCAACGCTTTATATGAGTTAGCACTTCATCCACTTTATCAAGATAAGTTGCGTCAAGAGATAAGAGAGGTTCTAGCGAAAGATGGAAAATTCACTTATGATAATATAAAAACGTTAAAATACTTAGACAAGGTAGTTAAAGGTGAGTAAATCAGAATAATATGAAATTTTACTTGCGTTTATCACCGCATTAGATGCTAATAATTTATTTCAAAAATGCAGCATTAAAAAAGTCCTCATAGAGCATAAAATAAGTTTAATTTATATTAAACTATCTTGACACTCGAGAAAAATTCCTTCTTCTACGATTATAAGATTAAAAATTTTCTTCTTACCATATATCTTTCTGGATCAAAAAATGATCTTTGATAGTTACATGGAAATTAACGTTTGATATAATCAATAAAAATAAGTAAATTCTAATATTTAATTATTTTCATATTTTTTAGAAACTCTTCGCAAGTATCCCCCGGGTAGTTTGTTAAGAAGGATCTCAGTAACTCCATATACTTTTGCGGGTAATAATTTAACAATACCAAAACATACCAAAATTATTATTCCTGTATGGGCAATTCATCGCGATCCAGATATTTGGTCAGATCCTGATGCTTTTGATCCAGAAAGATTCAATGATGTAAATGCAACAACTAGACACCCTATGAACTATTTGCCATTTGGCGACGGACCTCACAACTGCATTGGTAATAGTTTTTTTAAGACCTTCAATTATTTATCAAAAAATACTATTATAGTTTTTTCATTTCAACAGGCTTACGTTTTGCGAATTACCAAACAAAAATAGGAATAGCTACATTGATTAATAAATTCAAAGTAAACGTTTGTGATAAAACTTGCATTCCTTACATTGTTCATCCAAGAGCATTCATTCCAACGCCAGTTGGTGGAATACACTTAAAAATCACTACATGTTAGAAATGAACATAAGGTTTTATTATTTATTGCTACGTCATCTTTATTGTTAAGAAAGATCAATCAATTACTTACATAAATTAGATTTATTTTTAATATCAACCTTTATAATATATATTAGACGTTTATGTAATTACTTTTGTATATAACTCGTCCACAAATTAGAAACATATAAATTTATAAATGTTTTATATTTCGTTGTTGGAAAGTTGCTTTAATTTTCCTTATCGAATACGAATTTCTGTTCTCGATGATTTCTTTGTAGTGCAAATTAACCGTTCAGCAGAATAACAGTTGTGAACAAAGACAATCTTAATCTAATGATTTTTAAGCTTATCGTAATATCCAAAGAATGAAAGAGAAATTTAAGGATTATTTTTAGTAATAATTTATCTAGACGCAGCTAAGATGATAATATGTATACTTTTATTGAGAGATATAGAATATTAAAGTTTGGTTGTTTTACTAAATTTATTCTTGGCAATAATTGTTCACATATTGTTACCTTGTGCTACTTTGTAAATGTGTTGATAAAAATGGTACTGGAAAATTATGCTTTCTAAACATAAGTTTTCCTTATTTTTTATGAAAAATTTCTAAATTGAGCACTCACTTCAAAAGTTTTCTTTTTATTTTGTTAAACTACTCTTCTTAAAGAATAAACGATTGAGCTAGACTAGGCGAATATTACTCTAAATGACGCATTAATAACTATAGTTTATCATTGTTTAAAAAGTTAAATACTTGCGATATGAGATGTTACATAAAGCGTTTTTAAAATATGACGCTTCATTTTTGTGCAAACTCTTTTTCTCTTTCTACTGTTAACATTATATTGTGAAATAATAATATATAAGCTCTTCTTCAATGAAATAAGTAGGTATGTTTCAGTTAATTTTTACATTTAAATAATATATATATTGCAGTTTTTAATTCAAATAATAAAATAGTGATACTGCAATTCCTTCTTTTATAATTTCAGTCAAAAATGGTGTACTTCGTGATTGGTTTCATTCAGATTATATTAGCGTTAGGTACTTTATTTATTTTATTTTATTTTTATTTGACAAAGCACTTCAACTTCTGGGAAACATACAAAGTGAAGGGACCAAAACCTCTACCGATTTGTGGTAACTTTAAAGATGTTTTTCTGGGTAAATCACACATCGGTCTTCTATTAAAAAGATACTACGATGATTATAGCAATGAACCTTATATCGGAGTTTATGAAGGAGATTCTCCTTTGCTTATCTTAAGAGATCCAGAAATAATTAAAGATGTACTTATCAAAGATTTTAATTATTTTCCTAATCGTGCTATTTATACTAATCATGAAAAAGACCCATGGGCACTCAATCTACTCAATTTAGAATATAAAAACTGGCGACCACTTAGGAAATACCTTTCTTCTGCCTTTACTGATGTCAAGTTGAAAAATATGTTTTATTTACTTTCCGAGAGTGCAAAAAATTTTGAAATATATGCAGAAAATGTTGTCAAGAAAGGTGAACCGATAGAATGTCGAAAATTTTCTTCCATATACACAACTAATACAATCAGTGTGTGTGCGTTTGGATTGGATACTACTACATCGGAAAACGAAACTAATCGGTTTCAGCAATTTGGACAAGAGTATCTTGATTGTGACTTTAAAAACGCGACAAGGCGATTAATGCGCGAATACTTTCCTGGATTTTATTTTCTTCTAGAACCTTTAATACGTAGCGATAATACAAAATTTTTGATGAATTCTCTACAAGAAACAATAGAATACAGAAGTAAAATGAATATTAAAAGAAACGATTTTGTCGATTTACTTATTGATTTGAGAAATCATCCGGAAAAACTAAATGATATTGGTACGCATATTCATTAGATAATTCACATTATCTAATTAAATTACACAAATTTTATATTTTTATTTTAGAAATAAGTGATTTGCTATTGACGTCTCAAGCGTTTATATTTTTTATTGCTGGATATGAAACGTCTGCTGCATCGATGAGTAATCTAATGTATGAGTTAGCGTTGAATCCACAGTATCAATCAAAATTACGACAAGAAATTACTAAAACTCTAGCAACTGATGGAGAATTTACTTACGATAACCTTAAGTCAATGAAGTATTTAGATAAATTAAATAAAGGTGAATATAAAAACTTACTACTGATGTATATAGGATAGGAAATTCATAGTTAATCTAACATGATTGATTTGTAAATTCCTTTATATATACAATACTAAGACATGGAAAAATATTATAATTTGAAATATGTAAGTGCTTTATTTTATTATTTTTAGAATCACTTAGGAAATATCCTCCAGGAACTCATAATCGGAGAATTTCAGTTGCTCCATATACTTTCGCCAGTACAAATTTAACAATTCCCGAAAATACCAAAGTCATTGTTCCCGTATGGGCCATTCACCGCGATCCCGCTATATACCCTGATCCTGAAGTTTTTGACCCAGAAAGATTTAATGAAGAGAATGAAGAAAGTAGGCATCCTATGCATTACATACCATTCAGCCACGGACCGCATAATTGTATAGGTATAGGTTTATTTTTAATTTCTTTCTTCATTTAGTCTTATGTTCTTAGTTTAGAAAAAATTTGATTTTTTTAGGATTACGTTTTGCTGATATACAAATAAAATTAGGAATAGCTATGCTGCTCAGCAAGTTTAAGTTTGAACTTTGTGATAAAACTTGTAAAACATATGAAATACATCCAAGGTCTGTCATTCCAATGACTAAAGATGGTATATACATACGCATTTCAAAAATATGATATTTATATTACAAAATAGTTTTTATAAAGCTTATATTTTTAATTATCAAATATTTTGTATTTATTGCAGATTATATTATAAAAATCTATGTGTTGGAAATTTATTATTAATTATAAATAAGTTAGTAAAGGGTTTTAAGTGTGCAACATTACAAAAAAATGAATAAAACTAAATCATATATAAATCTGATATTTGTATTTTTAAATTAGAAAAACATTTTACACATTTATATGAATGAAAAATATAGTCTTATATTCAAAATATTTTCATTATGCAAATGGTTTTTCTCTAAGAATAATCAGTTTTTTTTAATAAATAACTTATTGTTTTTAATTGACAGTACATTGTTCTTTTATTTTTAACTAGTACCATTTGAAAGTAAATCTTGATTAATATATAAGCGTCTTTTATTCAGTTTTTAAAACTTTTTTTACGTCATATTTAATGAAATAACACACTATGGCAAATAAACTCCTTTAATTTTTTTTTTAAATATTCGTATTTACAGTTATACAGTCACTGGTATTTCTTAATATAATCACAATATATTCGAAACATTTTTTATTTAATATTTTTCAAAGTGTAATTATCCAATATGGCTCGGGGTATAGGAAAAACGTAATTAAGTTGTAATATTCTTAGGAAAGTGCTTAACAGGTAAGTAGTGTACAAACAGTGGAAACAGTGGTAATTTTGATAATGTTATTGAAAATATAATGAGTTTAAATATCGCATTTATTTTCTAGTTTACGTAGCAATTAGGAAATTTTATGCAGTTACTAAAGACTACGATAACCCAAAATATCTTAATTTCTATTTTTCTATTCAGAATAATTTTAAATAGCTAATATGAAAGTCCCATCATTTGCAACTGAAAAACTGAAGATTTTATACCTGTGTTGAAGACATACAAAAATAATAAATACAAGTTAAACGTAATTGAAAATCTTAATATTCAAATATGGAAATCAGTATTATTGAAATTATAGCAGGAATAGGGGTGTTAGTTATGTTTTTGTATTATCGCTTTACAGCAAATTACAATTTTTGGAAAAATCTGAAAATTATAGGACCCGATCCTATTCCATTTTTTGGTAATTCTCAAGATTTTATCTTAGGTCAGTGCAATGTGATTCGAATATTTAAATTAACTATAATGATACAACTTTAAGATTGTTATTTTAGGTCGGTTGAATGTTGCTATACTTTCGAAAAAGTTCTATGATGAATATCAAAACGAGCCATACGTCGGCGTTTACGAAGGAAGCACACCAAAGTTAATTATGAGAGATCTAGATCTTATAAAAGATATTCTGATCAAGGATTTCCATCTATTTCCCGACCGAGGTATTCTGAACAAGGAAAATCGAGATCCTTTTGAAGAAAATCTCGTTAACGTAGAGTATGATCAATGGCGGGTTTTGAGATCAAATTTATCACCTTCTTTTACTTCTGGTAAATTAAAGGATATGTTTCATTTGATTACCGAGTGTGCTCAAAACTTCGAAAAGCATGTGGCAAAAATTGCAAGAAAAGGTGAACCGGTAGAATGTGGTGATCTAGCAGCTAAATATACGACGGACGCTATTGGTGTGTGTGCTTTTGGATTAAACATCAATTCTTTAGGGGATGAAAACAGTGGCTTTCGAATGTTTGGCAAATGCTTAACAGATATGAATTGGAGAAATGTTGCTAGACACGTATGTCGTGATGTATTTCCTCGTTTTTATGCGTTTATTAGACCTTTAGTATATAACAGAGCTGAAGATTTTTTCATAAATTCAATAAAAGAAACAATGAATTATAGAAAAAAAAATAAAATCAGAAGAAAAGACTTTGTTGATATATTAGTAGATTTACAAGAACAACGAAATGGAAAACTTAAAAATTTAGGTATACATTTTTTTATTAGATAGATTGTTTTTTCAATGCTTTATAGGCATTACAAATAAAATTATATCGTCTACTGTAGGATTAACAGATGAATTATTGAGAGCACAAGCATTTGTTTTCTTTTTTGCTGGTTTTCATTCAACATCGACAATAATAAGTCACGTGCTGTATGAGTTAGCACTTCATCCATTAATTCAGGATAAGTTAAGAGAAGAGATAAGAGGAGCAATAGTCAGAGACGGAAAATTAACATACGACAATATTAAAGAGATGAAATATTTCGATAAAATAATAAAAGGTGTGGCTAAAATTATAAATAAGATTTATTGACTTCAACATTAGATTTTACATTTATAAACAAGTTTATATTATTTGTAATTGGAGTTATTTTTTTAAAGACATAAATATATAGAAAGAATGTAGTTTTCTTTTCACAAAAATATAGAAAAAAAATGGATTTTTAAAATTGTTCATTAAAATATGTATTACAATATACTCATAAAAGTAATTCAAAAGAATAACAATGTATGATGTATTTTACAGAAACTCTACGAAAATATCCTCCTTTTAATTTACAAAGAAGATCAGCCGTTGATTACACATTTGAAGGTACAAAAGTAACTATTCCTAAAGGTACTAGGTTAGTCATTCCAGTGTGGGGGATTCAACGTGATCCAAATATTTGGCCAGATCCCGATGTATTTGATCCTGAAAGATTCAACGAAGAAAATGAAAAAGTCAGACATCCCATGAGTTATTTAACATTTGGTGGGGGACCTCGAAATTGCATTGGTAATTTTATTTATATTTAAATTTAAATGAAAACTGAAATTGATATTTAGATTTATATTTAGATTTTTATTTATGTATTCCTCATATACATTTTCGTTATCTTTCAAGGAATACGTTTTTCTACCCTACAAATGAAGATTGGAATAGCTACATTAATCTGTAAATTCAAAGTGGATACCTGCGATAAAACTTGCATTCCCTATCGTGTTCAAGCGAGAGGAGTAATCCCGAGACCGATCGGTGGGCTGCAATTGAAATTTATTGATCTTTAATATTTCTAACATTATTTGCATACAAAATATTGTATAGCTTATTGTTCATGTTTTGCGATTATTTTATTTTTTTTTATGGATTACTTATGCTCAAATCTGTATATTCCAATTTACTTTCGATTACAAGTGTTTTACGCTTTCCCGATATGTACATGTATAAATTCTGATAATTAAACATTTACAAATGTATTATTATAAAGTAAATAAAAATTTTCCTCAAAATAAATCATATTTTAAGAAAACAAAAAAACTAAATCTAACATTTATAGGCTTTTCACGTGTTACTTACACGCACTAATTTGGAATTGGGATGAAATACTCACGATATACTAATATAAATTTTTCTAAAATTTTACGGAATAACTTTATAGAATAATGATGTAACATATAATTATTAAGGAAGATGGATAATTTGTTCAATTTATTTGTTACTGTAATTAAAAGAGGAGTAAACGTTAATGCGGTGCCCCTGGACGATGATGATCCACCTTCCATTTCGTAAAGCATGGTTGCTAAGATTTAAGAAAATCTTTATTGACGTATATTTAAACTTGTAGCTGAATAAATATTTAAAATTGACATTTTACGTACATGTGACTTTTATAGTTTGTTAACCATCTTCAGCAGATTGTCTTACAATCTAAAGTAATCAAGTTTTTTTTAAGCCAGCACTGGCATTTCGTTATCTTCAATTTTTTACTTGTATTTCTTTTGATAAAACAGCATCGAAACATTTTCTCAGGTTACATGCAGAAATTGAATTAATTTTATGAATTATTTATGGATTCATTTTACAGTAAATAAACTCTTCTTACTATGAGTAACATTTTCGATAGTGCGCTATTTAAAGTAGATTCTATATTAGAATTTTGTGTTACTATTAACAGTTCGCTTTATTAAACCTTCATCCACTATTATGTATTTTTCCGTTATTAGTCTCATCAATGTGTGAGGATATAATATAAATATAATAAGATAAAAACTACTTTATAGTCATTATTTATTAATTAAGAGAAAAATATAAATAATTCAAATAATTTTTTTTTAATTATATGGTAGTTGCCATATGACGCAAATGTCGACAGTTTGTGCAGCGATGATGAGCTAGACTGTGGAGGTGACGTTGACAGATAGCACGTATATAACGTCTTAACGGTGAATACATGCTTCCATTTTGCATCACGTTGTCAACCTAGCTCCAGGTTGTTGAGATTACTAGCCTAATTATTTATGGAGTTTTCGGTATTTGGGAGTGGAGTGAATTATAAATATTTTTATTTTCATTCTAAAATCATATAAAAATTCTCTTTTTATCACCATCTAATGCTATATATTTCAACGTGAAATTTTTATAAAAGTCATTGTTGTAAACGGAACGTATATACGTATATACATACATATATATATATGTATATATATATAATATAAATTGCCTACAATGATAATTATTTAATAACCAAAGAAATAGAGGATATTAAATTAATTCTTTAAGTCATCTACTTTGTTCTTTCAGTTATCAGGAATGCATTCCCCAGAAAAGCAGAACTGCAAATTAAATTTTTCAAATACAATATGGATCTAATTAAAATTGTAATAGTTCAATTCAAATACAACACGAACCTTATTTTCTCCACAGATCGTTCCATCGGGTGTAATACCTATTTTTTTACAATTAGATCTTTTTGTACTAAAACAAATAAGCTTATTACACATTCTCTTGGGATTCTGAAAAGAAAAATTTAATTGACAATTTTGTAAGGTAATAGAATAAGATTCCTATCGATTAAATACTCACATAACAAGCGACGTCATTACCGGTTCTTTGACATAGTTGATTCGCACTTAATACCTGTCCTGGTAGAAGAAATTGAACCAATGAACCTGGGTTTGGTATATTTTTCAAACATTCTGCTGTTCGTTTCCTAAAAGAAAGTAGTTTTACACTTTAAGATACGAACTACTTATGATTTTTCATCTATAATAAAATTAATCAGTACGCTGGCACTTGATTGAAAATTTCCTTACTGCAACTTGACCATCTAAAGTTATTTACGGCATATTTAAATATCGAGGGGGCCATGATATAACTTTCGCAAGTCATGCAAGGCGCTGCCTCATCAGTACCATCGTGAGGGATACCCAACCTAGACAAAAATTATAATGAAAATAATAATTAGTTCATTTACTTTTGAAATTGGATAAAATCAATGAATTACAGATGTGCGATTTCATGAGTAGTTGCAACAACACCATTGAAAGCTCCGTTATCTTCAACGATAGCCGTACTCAGGTGCGAAAGACACGATGCTCCAATCAAAGAAGCACCTGTGAGTAAATATTGAATTCAGTTGTAAATCAAAAATAATTTGTTGAAATAATTTTTCTTCGTACCGATAGTTTCAGATTTACATACATCGCGTACAGTATCGACTATACATACGTCTTCTCTATAATATACCAATAATAAGTAATAAATATAGTGTTTTTTTCAAAGATTTATATATTGCAGGAAAATAATTACCCAGTTAATGTCACTAAAATGTCATGATTTGCGGTTTGATTTTTATTCTTAAAATATTTTCCTTGTTCAAATATAACTGCATTTCCGTCGACACGTCCCCAAACATCTTTATTTTCTTGTATGTAATACATCGCGTTGTCATCCTTGATGCGTAAAGATGAATCGTGTTTGTAATGTATTTTAGAAAACGAAAGTTTTTTTCAAATACCTTTGCTATTACGATTCCAGCAAGATTTATGTAAATTCTTGGAGAACGCAATGGACGAAATCGTAAATCAACACTAGACCAAAAACTGATGATGTATTCTAAGGCATCGTCAATATTTTCTCCCAATTTCCTAAAATTGAAAATGTAGTTATATCATGCATATTATAAATAAGCTTAAATAAGTTGGATTAAAGTTCTACTTGTATAAATTATAGTCAACTGCAACTAATATCTCTAAATAAAGTGTTCTTTTTTTAATTCCACTGCTTGCATTTGTCGAATTCTCGTTTGAACTATTATTATTATTAATATTGATAAGACCGGCTTCTTTAAGAGCCTGAAATGTATTTGTAGATTCATTATTAACATACGGTTTTATGTATTAAAAAATGTAGTACGTACGTTTGGTATATGTTTTAGGGTGGGATTTTTAGAATTTTTCGGGTTTGATTCCAAAAACCACACTGGTGTATTTGTTCCAGCTAAAAATGGACTTGACTTTGCACATAATAGTTGCGCCTGAACAGTTAATACAAAAGATCATCTGATTTGCTTAGTACGAATATTTAAAAAACAGACTTACATTACAATGATGTATAAATATGATTAGCAAAATTGCACTCGTTACTCCCATTATTATTTATTACTTGGAACGGAAAACTTTCTAATTGCCATTAAATGATTGAGTTACCTAACCGAAGAACTTCTTTACAGCAACTAAAATTAGACTGAGTGAGTATGATCGATTAAATGCTTTCATTTAAACACCTGGGTTAATGTGATATCCCCTTCAATAAATAAAAAGGAGGTATTTACTCAACCCGTGCAAAGTTTTTTCGATAGATAACTTTTTCACATTTCTCTTGTCAGAACAATTAATTGAAAGTAAATTTTGAAACTCATTTACATTAAAAATGTTGAGCTAGTTTGCGGTAGATAAGGATTCTAGATATCAAATTGTTTTCCATGTTGTTCATCGTGTATAACATTTTTGCTCGTTAAAATATGTATCTAGAATTTTTTTGGGCAATGAAAAGAGTATTTTCTTTTATACGATACATATTAATTTTCCATAGGTAGAACGAAAATTTTGCGTTAATAAAAATTCGATAATAAATCGTTTCAATCATTGCAAGATTATGGCACTGATTTACGTCGCGACCTCCCGCATCTTCGTGTATCTCGCTTAGCCAATAAATACATGTATATACGCATAAATACAAGAAGAGACGTATAAATAAACGAAGGAAAAAGCTGCTCGTGGTGTTGTATAAAGTCAAGCTAATTTACGTGGCGGGGGAGGGAAGAGGAGGTCGTCGCCGCAATTGAAGGAAATTGAATTCATAATTCGCGCGATAAAGTTTCGGGCACGGGGCATACACACGATTTATGTGGCTTTGATTGCGAGACGCCGCCGCCGCAAAATTCTTTTTTCGGGGTTTTGCTAATGTATTATACGAGGCGGCTCGATGAGGTATGAAGTCGAGTAGTATGAAGAAATAGTGTGGGTAATTAGCGAATAGGCGTAATAAATTTCATATACACATACGCGCGCTGCAACCTTCGCGCGGTTTATGTATTTTTTTTGCTCTCGTGCGTGTACATACTTGGAAAGTGAAATTTCAGTTATTCCACGTGAGTTATTGATATTGAATGTTGAACTACTGCCGATGTATATACGATAAGCCTAGTGCCAATAAAACTTCTGCTTGTTTTATCCAAGTTATATATAGGGAAGAAGAAATAACGATAAAAAGCTATCCGAGAAACAAAATGACACGTGAAAAAATTGATAACGTCTGAGAGAATTGATTTTCACAGTCTCTTTATAATATTTTACCATTACTAATGACGTCAGACGCGCTCTTATCTCCCTTTTCCTTTCTCGTTATATTGATTAACATATTTGGCATGAAATACTTATTTTAAAGATGAATTTTTACAAAACGCATATCGTTGCGGAAAAAATACGTATTAGTAAAACAGTTCCGCATATTCTTAAATTATGAATCATCATATGGAAAACTGCTATCAATAATCTTTTAGTTTTTTTCGACTGTACGGTTCAAATTATAGTTAAACATGTATCCCACTCTTTTGTATGAAATTTTCTACATTACAAAATTTATTTGAATCTTACACATTTAAATATTAAATTAGCGATTAGTAACAGAAGATAATCATAACAATTTTAAAGTATTACGAAACAATTTACTCGCTGCTAGTTTTATAAAAATGAGCTTTAAAGCAATAGCCTTTTTTTACTTGAATTATCTTTCAAATAATCCGTATAAATTATGATAAATTGAATTTTTACCATAAAATCTCAACTCGAAACCATATATACACTTATTTGTCGCCACATAAGAGTAGTATACTATACGACCATCTAATCAAATCACGGATAAAATGCTTGATCATTGTATTCATCACTTTTGTAAGAGGGATACAAATTTATTTATAATTTTAGAATTATTTATTTATTATTTATAATAATAATTTATAATTATTGAAAATGTTAATGATAATTAAATAAACCTTATGCTTATCGTCGTATAAGATGACGATGGTAAATTGAAGGCAACCTCATCAATTATTCAGTTTAAAATTTGTAGCATCAATTTTGAAAATAAGCCTACTCAACGACAAGGTTGAAGTAATTGCTCATCAATTATCGGTAATAGCGAGAAAAACCTTCGATTGCTCATTTACGACCGAAACAATTTCATGTTACGCTCGTTGCTTTATAATGCAATGATGAAAAACCACCCACGCCAATGAAATCCGCGACCGAGACCCCGACATTCTTTCAACGTTACTCTAACGGGTGATGGAAAATCCTTCATAATGCCGTTGTACAATACAATAGTCAAGGCCCAATGAACCGCTGGGCCGAAAATTAATTGGCGACCTAGGGTCGCGCGAGTCATGCGATATTTCACGACTTCGAATGGGTCACACGGAGACCACCTGTGTTGCTGTTTAACAATGCATCACCCGCGCAAATGATGAATGATGACCGAGGAAGAGCGTATACGCGCCAGCGCAGAAGGAGCGAATCAATGAGACGCGTTTCGCAAAAAGCGCGCGCTGCCTTGCGTTGCAAAAATCCGCGTTAATTTATATGCGCGCGGAGAGCAGCTGAAGTGTGACGCAAGTTGCGACGACGAAAAATTGAGTTGTGTGAGAAAGTGAACGCCTGCCGTTGAAGTTCGTATCGCGTTGATTGCCCGTGAAGTTTCTTTTTGCGATTGTAATTACAATTTAATTTCTGCCTGGCAATTTTGGAAATCGTGCGAACTCCAGTCCAGCACGTGAGAAAATCAATATGATACTCGATGATCAAAGTATCACGAGCGACAATAATCTCGCAAATCTTCAGGAAGCATCGATCATGAAGTCACTGAAAATCACCAGCAATAAAAGCTATACGATATCTTCCTTTGGTGTCGCGTAAAAAAGGAGAACAGTAAAGCCGGGGGCGACGCGAAGATGCCGTTCAGCCAGCCAAAAAAGCGTCGCTGTCTCTCTCATTCATGTCTTCTCATTCTCGCATATAGCAGTAAATAATGTCAGTCCAGGGCAGTATTATTCACATACGCTTATTGTATATGCGCGCGAACATCATACGTATATTTATGATTCATTTATGCAGAACTTTTCAACGGAATCAGAGAGAGAGAGAGAGAGAGAGAGAGAGAGAGAGAGAGACAGAGAGAGAGCTGCCTGAATTTCTAAAAGCCCCTGGAGTTGTCGAGCTTTTATGAGAAGTTAATTGCCGAGTAATTGCGTCAGAGGAGTTTCACTTTTTTTTCCTTGCACATGTGGAACTGCTAAAGGAGGATTTCAGAGAAATGGGAATACTCGGGTTTTATGATCTGATTATATGAAAGCGTCATTCTATATTTGCATTTTATTTAATCTTCGAATGGATTAGAAATCAGAAATAATTTACATAATAGATACTTTTAATTAGCTCGCATTCAGTTTTAGTTCAATACGTAAATAAGTTCTAACATTTAAAAATGTTCTAGACACGTTTACTTCGAAGCTAGCAAGTAAAATAATGCAACTGTTTTGCGAATAAGTACATCTAGATTCCGAGAAAATCAACGTATTAGGTAATACGATTGTTCACGCGGTATTTTCAAGCGCTAGGTATAATATTCTTTCGCAAGGTTCGTGGTTGCAGCTATTAATAACGGCACTTGCCTAACGAAATTTACGCGAGTATTCGTCATAAGATTTGGGAGCAGTTGAACGGGTAGAAAAGAGAGGTCTCGCAAAGATTAGATCTGCGCTCAGCTTATCGCTCGACTACAAGCTTCCCTCGGGTTGTAAAACATCGGGGCCTTATCTCCGCGGGAACCGCGAGCGCGAGCGAGGTGCCACAGATGTAGTTGTTGCTTGCACATTGTACGCGAGAACGCGAGAGACTCTGCACGATGCACGAGAGCGCGTTTTACCGTGATTGGACGACATGGGTTTTGATTGCGAACTTATAACCTTCCAAGATTTTCGCTATACTTGGAATAGGTGTGCGTCACTGGATTAACAGCGCGACTCATGGCTTCTGAGACATCGGCCACGTTCATTCATATACGAGTTTTTTTCGATCGAGAGTTTTTCAGTAGCTTTTTTAGTCAATCTATAATTGTTATTGAGCGTATTAATCTTTCCGTATTGCCTTGAGAAACGAGATAGCGGAGTGAGCAGAAATACAAGTATAGCGCATTTCCCGAAACTCAACTGTGGAAACATCAGTCAAAGAAAGCTTGCGTAGCGCGTCAGCATAAATCTGCGCGTCAGTAAGCTTGCAGCGAGGCCAAAGTGACTACGGACATTAAAGTGGGTTTCTTTCTGTCAGGGAGAGCGTCGGTAGGTATTAAAATTCTCCGGGGATATATAGTCCAAAGGAATCCACGCGCGGTGCCTTTGAGGGCTTTCGCCAAATAAATTAATCTATTAACGCCGGGCCTCCGCAGTGTAATCCCCAATTAGGACGAAATTGATTACGTCGGCTTATCTTGCGTCTTAAACCTTTATTCTATTCGCGATGCGCGCTGCGGTGGCGAAAAGCGAATGACTGAGCGCGCAAGGGGAAGCTGCCGACCTTCTCGCATGAAATTTTCCAATTTAAAATCGCAGAAAAATCATAAGGGGCTTCAATCGATACACCGATATTAATAAGAAGATCGTCAACATAATTCGTTAACAATCAAAATTTTCGATTCCTCCTCGTTAGCGTTAATCAATTAACCGCCGAGATAGAGAGATGGAGATTGGAATTGATAAAATCTCGATCTGCGATCGATTCTTCAAAAAGGCTAATCTGTAATCGACGACGTGAGGAATCCTTTGCTTGCCTGACTTATCACCGTGATCCACCGGCTATCCTCTAATTCCATCTAATTAGCATTAATCGTATCCACGATATGAATTGAAGAAAAAAAAGCGAGTCGGGTTGAAGCATCGAGAAAAAGAGTGAGAGAGAGAGAGAGAGAGAGAGAGAGAGAGAGAGAGAGCGGGTGCGCAAAAGATAACATCCATAATCGCGAACGGTGTTGCCGGCTTGATCTTATCGGTTGATTTATGAATGAGCACGCGGTCCAGGGGACAATTTGTTGCGCGTCC